GGGGGCCACACTGAGGTCGAACAGGTTGTGGCTGTGGGGCGGCAGCACCGGGCCCGGCTCCGCAGCGGGGGCCGTGCCCTCGGGGGCGCGGAAGCCCCGGGCCACCTGGAAGGCGCGCGACATGTCGTCCAGAATGGCGCCTGCACACCCCCCCAGCGCATGCGTCAGAGCAGAGACGGCCAGCGGGCAGCACTGGTGCGCGCCTGCGCAACGAGCGCAGTCAAACGAGGCGACCCAGTGCAGTATTGGGGAGCAGTTCACCCCGCCAGGGACACTTTCGTGACGCCCCGTGGAGTTACGGTGCAGCGGCTGGGCGGCCTCACCTGCCTCGGGCAGCTGCTGGGCGGCCAGGTCGTCCTCAAGAGGGGGCACCGGCCCGCGCGAGGAGGGGGGGCCCGAGCTGAGGTCCGAGTTGGCAGAGTCGGTGAAGGGGGCGGGGGGGCGACCCGGGGGGGACATGAAGCTCTGCGCAGTGGGGGCGTCGAGCGGGGCGCTAGGGGGGGGGCCATGACCTAGGTGGCAGAGAGGGGAAGGGGTCAGGGAGAATCGACGTGCAGAAGCATATGAGATGAAGCCGCAGGGTGGGGCCGACCGAGCAGTTTGGCAAGCGACCCAAACAGGAAGACGAGAGCGGGCTGTGACTGGTCAGCGCTTGGGTGATAGCCGCAAGAGAGGAGCAGCGGAGATGAGCAGGAGCCAGGGCGGACGGCACACGCAGATGCGGATCGTCCAAACTTGTGCAGGAAAGCCCGAGCTAGATGGCGCGTCCCATGGGCAGCGCCCCCAGGCCGGCCATGCTGGGCACATGCAACGCTCTGCATCGTCCAACAACAACGGCCCGCGGCAAACACAAGTGAGCAGGACCACTGCTGCACCAGGGCCCCACGGGCGGATGCAGAGGGGGAGGGCAGGGCGGCCGGCGGTACGTACTTACTCGCTTGGTTCTCTGCCCCCGCCGAGGTGGTGCGCTCATTGCCCCCCCGGCCTGTGCTGGGCCCAGCTGCCGCGTAGGCGCGCTGCTGGGGCGGGGGCTGCTGCAGCGGCGGCTCCAGGGCACGCACATTGGCGGGCTTGAAGCCAATGAGCGCCTCGCCATCGTACTCGACGACATCGTCCCAGTTCTCGTAGGCGACCTTGACGAGCTTGTCGACGTAGACCTTCTCGTTGTCGGACAGCGCGTCCACGCTCATGTACTGCCCGTCCGCGATGAGGCCCATGAGCTGGAAGATGTTGTTGAAGATGACGCCCACGCCCTGGCTCTCGTCCGCGTAGTACACGTGCAGCTTGCCGTTGAGCACGCACGTCTTGGCGTGCTCCACGGTGCCGTCCCACATCTTGTTGCTCATGCCGCTGCCCAGGATGTTGCGCAGCTTCTGCGGGTCCATCACCACCATGCGCAGAAAGTCCTCCACCGTCGTGATGCTCGCCGCATTCAGCCGCTTGTGAAACGCGCCATCCTTACCGATGCGGTCCAGCCGCCAGACCTCGTCTTGCAGTGCTGGCGGGTAGTGCTTCTTGTACACTGCACCCACCAGCACGTGTCAGGCTCACCTCGCACGCCTCTCACTGGACAACAGGCGGAAGGGCTTGGACGGCGGAGGCAGCTGTGAGGACAAGTCCCCATGCAAGCTCCTTGTGCCAGAGCCACGACAAGAATACCGGCCACATGTAGGGGAGTAGACGACCTTGCAGGTGGGGGCTTACGCTCGCCGCGGTGGTCCTTGACGGTGAAGGCCTCCGTCTTGGCCTCCCGCACGCGCACGCCCTCTGCGCCGGCAGCTACGCGCACCCCGAGCCGGAACTTGCGGCTGCGGATCCAGCTGGAGTTGTCGGTGAAGGTGATGTCCCCAATGGTGCCCTCCCCGCCACGGAAGCATAGCAGCTGCTCCCCCGTGAGCAGGGGCCGCTTGCCGTCGCGCTCGCGCACGATGTTGCTCTCAAACACGTCCGCAGGCCACATCTCGTCGTCGTCCATGTTGAAGTCGCCCTCCAGGACCACCACCTGCAGCTGGCACTGCGCGGCCGGCCCGCTGCGCACGGCCTCCCCCGTAGCGGCGTCCTGCAGCACGACCTGCAGGGGTGCGCCGTCCTCCGCCTCGACGCGGCTGCCCGTGTACAGCGGCAGCGACAGCTTGTTGACAAACGCCAGCCGCAGGACGGGGCCAGGCGGGGCCGCGGCAGGCAGCCTGGGGTCAGGGAGCAGGCAAGCGGTGAGGCGGGCAGGGCAGCGAGTGCGGCAAAGTGTGCACAGAGGATAACGGGGCAGAGTCAGAGGCCTGCTTTTCAAGGAACGACAAGATCAGGGATGACAGAAGGTTCTTGCACCATAAACAAAGCTCAAAAAATGGCCACTCCTTGTGCGGTACCGGATTGCATCCACAGCGAACCAAGCAGTCACATCTTCTCAGATGAAGGCCAGCAAGGCCAGGATGCCACGGTTTCCTTGCATCCCTGAAGTCAACAAAGACTGGAAGGGAAGGACCACACCCTGCAGCGGGGATTGCCCCACACAGGCCTCAGAGGGTGCCCATTCGCAAACAGAGGCTCATCTTTGCAGCAAGTCGAGCAGAGGGCACCCTGTGTGCGAAATTGCAATGTGCAGAGAGCTGGCGGTGCACTCACGCTGGACGCTGCTGGCGGGAGTGAGCGGGGGGCTGGTGCTTGGCAAACGCTTTCTCCACCTCCTCCGCCACCTGGCAAGAGGACAGCACAGGCCCTCAATCAGGGCAAAGTGCATCTGGGACGGACGACAGCAAGAGGCATGGGCGCTAGGGTTTCCTGCTGGGCCGCGCAGCGGTACTCAAGGACAGCGCTTGTCGTGGCGTGGCCACCCCTTGCCAGAGGCAACATTTGCTGGGGCTTCCGCGCATGCTGGGGAACCGTCCAATGCTACGTAAGCGATCTTTAGAAGTGCAGTTGTGTGCAGGTGGGCTTGTGTGTGCCTGGCATTCTTGCAGATTGACCTTCCTTCTTGCATATCTCAATATGGGGGCAGTGCTCAGTTACGGAGGGCCTCACAATGCGGCGGAGCATTGGCTCAAGGCCCTGGGCCAGCTTGTGCAGCGAGTCCGCCTTCACCGCCTCCTGGACCACGCTGCACAAGCACGTGCGCACAAGGGGGCTCAAGGGGGAGCACCGCCAGCAACACGACAGCAAAGCAGGCAGCAGGGCCGGCAAGAGAGCAGGGGCACAGCACAAGAAAGGTCTGCTTGTAACCGAAATCACACATACAATGCAGGCCCTTAGATAGCTGCATTGCGCGCACACTTGTGAAGCAGAACTTCCTCCATGATAATGTAATGCAAGTCTAATTACAGTTGCTTTGTACCTTCAGAGCTGCACTTCAGCTCTTTCCTTTCCAGAAATGAGCACGCACTCTAATGTGAATGCTCAAAAATTACCAAGATGGGCACCAAACACTCATCTGTTGTTGATAGAACGTGTCAAAACCGGACCTCTATGAATGACTATCTGTGGAAATGAGATCTTGTGCCAGGTAAAACATCCCAAACAACAGAATTCGATACTGTGTCAATGAGGTCAATGTGCCAGCATTGCTTCGCTTTGTGGAGCCACTCAAGGAAGGCAACATGATCAAGGCAAAAATATGGAGGCACATTCGACCTACTTTGCAAATGCTGGTGTCCTCTGCCGCTTCTCGCGGGAATCCTCTGCAGCATTGGTAGGCCCATGGTTGTCTCGCAGATCATACGGACGCTTCTCACCACGAGAAGCCATCCTCGCAGAGCACTTCACAGACGAAACTGACAAAAGTAGATCAGCTCGGAGCTGCCCACTAAATGCCAGTCAAAGGTATCAAGGCACAGTTCAAATTATGGTGCTACTGGTCTTGCTCACAGCAACTCTTTTTGGTTTCCTAAGCCTTCCCCTTCAGTCCAGGGCTAAGTACCTTAGGGTAGGTCCTCTCTTATGCGCGGAAGGTTGGGACTCTGGAAGGGAAGACAAGTGATCTGCGGCAAATGCACGAGGGAGTTCTTGCTGCATGGAGCTGATTTCGAGTGATGACACTGATCAATGTCACTCCGACTCTGAATCTCTGATCCCTGACTCCGACTCCGACTCCGACTCCGACTCCGAGTCTTCGGACTTCAGCCTCGGGCTCACAGGTGCTCAGGTCGGTAGCTCGAGACTGGGCCCTGATTCCCGCGTTGAGCCAGGGGGCGCAGACACCAGCCAAAATGTTGGCGCGAGCAGAATTGTAAGCGGGCGGAATCATCATATCAAAACCGCCCACAAGGTCAGAACGACTTGGCTAGGTCCCAAAACTTTCTCTACAAGTTTCCGCCATCATTGGGTGTCATTCGGCCGGTCCATTTTAATGCCCAAGAATCCAAGATTTGAACCCTGAGTCTTAGATTTCCATTTTTAATAGCTGTGAATTTCAGACATAGGTTCACTTCGTCCTTGACACTTGGGGCTCCACCGGGTGCGCTGACCCGAAAATGGGTGGAAATGGTAGCCAACAGGCCATATAAGACGTGTGCAAAGTTTCGTGGATGCGCCCGCGGTGGAGCCCATACGGTCTGCTCGCTTCTGGACGTTTAACATATTCTAGCTGGGCGTCTGCGTTGAGCTGTCGAGGAGTCGAAGTCGTCTCTCCCGAGTCCCCTCTCTCCAGTCTCTCATGTTGGGCATGAAACTGTTTGGAACTCGAAGTTGAAGAGGGAGCCTGGGAGAGGAAATGGACGGCCTGGCTGCCCTGGGCATAGGGTCCTTAAATGCGCACTGGCAGTCCCAAAGGACCCCAGGTGCCGGGCCAACGCCCACAGGCAATACAGCATGGCAGGCAGCACAATCTGTTCCCCGAAACGTTCCTTTCGTTGGCCAGATTCTAATTGACGCGAAATAAGTTTTTGGTTGCAACCACTTCACATGTCAGCGTTTTGACTTGGGGCAGGCTCCCGCTGCATCACACTGTGAGGAGGCTGGCTCTAGGCTCTAGGCTCTAGGCTCTAGGCTCTAGGCTCTAGGCTCTAGGCTCTAGGCTCTAGGCTGACCTCTAGGATTGCTTTCCGTTGTGGTCAGCAGCATGACGTCCTTTCAGATGCTGCGGAAGAAAACGCCGTTTCAGAAGCACAGGGAGGAAGAAGAAGCACGCAAAAAGGTAAGCCTGTATTGGGCAGATGGGGTGTCTGTGAGTGTGCCTGATTGGATGCTCGTCCTAGCCGGCAGGATGGAAGTGTGCTGGCAGTGGCAATTCTGATCTGCCGCTGCTTTGCACCCCCTTACAGCGTGAAGATGAAGAGGCCGCGAAGTTGTATGAGGAGTTTGTGGAGTCATTTGAGGCCGATGATAAGAAGCCCAAGGCATTTGTACGGGGTGGCGTCATTGACCCCTCCAAAAGGGTGGGGCATGAAGTGGAAGGTGAGCATGGTGCTGGTCGTGCATCTTGGTAACGGTGGACGCCTTCCGGTCGTAGAGGGGAGAGTGTTGCTGGCTATTGTGAGTGTGACATCTACCAGACTGCTTCTACTGAAGGAGATTGATTGGAACTATCTGGAATACCACATTGCGGAGGGGAGAACCTGTCTTGCGCCATCCAAGAGACGCGCTGGCTGCACTTGTGACTAGAAGGCCTGTTTGTAGCATCTTCTCAAATGCGCCCTCACGCAAGCTCTTGTCTATCAGGTAAACCGAAGGCTGGAGCACGCTATGTCCCGTCCTTCTTACCACCCACGGTGCCAGCTGCTGCTAATGACCCAGAACAAGAGAAAGAGGTATGGCAGCGGCAGCTGTGCTGACCAAGCAGCCAATACGAATGACTCCTCTTTGAATGCAGCATGTGTGCACATGTTTGAAGCACCCCCTTTGTGTCCCTGTGGTAGGCGCATTGGGTTTCCCTGAGTGCCTTGCCTGGAGCTCCATTGCAGGCTGTGCCGGAGATCAAGCGAGAGAAGGCGAAGGTGCGCAACATCGACAATTTCATGGAGGAGCTGCGGCGCGAGCAGGAGGCGCGCGAGGAGAGGGCCAAGCGACGCGACCACCGGGTGCGCACCTCCAAACAAAAAGTGCCCTCTGCTGCCGCCCCGCATATCCTGTGTTTTGCCACTGACAATCAGGGGGGCAGGTGGGATGGTCATCGGTTGCTCCGTCTCACTTGGTGGCCCCATCGGCATCGTGCAGCCCAACAGCCGCTTTGATGAGCTGCCGGAGGAGCCCCTCGGGTTTGATCCGTTCAAGGGCTCATTTGACATGGACGGGGACCCTGCCACCACGAACCTGTATGTGGGCAACCTCGCACCCCAGGTACGCATACACGCGCCCAGACAGGGGGCCCTGGCTGCGTGGCAGCCCTGCGGGGAGGAGTATGTTGGAGAAGCCAGTCTTGGCAGTAGCACCTGACAAAGGTTGTCGGCCTTGTCTGAGTTCAGCAGTAGTTGCAATCTTCCCTATATTTTTGAGGTACGAAAGGTCAGCCTGCCCGACGGCGCTTCTGGTGGTTGTACAACATAAAGTTTTGAAGTTTGCCACCGCTTGATGCAGATTGACGAAAGCTTCCTGCTGCGCACTTTTGGTCGTTTTGGGCCTATTGCCAGCGTCAAGATCATGTGGCCGCGCTCTGATGACGAGAAGCGGCGGGCCAGGAACTCGGGTTTTGTAGCGTTCATGAAGAGGAAGGACGCGGAAGCTGCCAAAGATGAGATGTCAGGTGAGGTTGCGGTTGTGCAGGTCCAATTCTGGCAGACAGACCGCCAGGTGGCAGCTCAGGAGGCCGACTTGACAGGGCACCCCGCTTTGGTCCCCTTTGTGTTTTCACACTGCCCTGCCCTGCTTCTTGGCAAACAAGCACATCTTTGATGCGGAGCATGCTTATGCCTGGCGTACCTTCTGCCTGCAGGGGCCCTCATGTGTGACTACGAGCTCAAGCTGGGGTGGGGAAAGGCCATCCCCCTTCCTGCACAGGCCCTTCCCGCACCCCCCGCGGGCGCCAGTGCGCACAGCATGCTACCGGCAGGGGTAAGCTGTTTTTTGTGTTTTTCCCCTGTTAGCTTGGGGTGGGCCGTTCTGTTTGAATTGCTTCGGCAGTTGGCTTGGGAAGCGGCGTCCTCTGTGTCCCGTGCCGTTTGAAAGTGGTTGAGCATCCCTGGGGGTTCTTAGTCCTCATCAGGACTGTGCTCCATCGCCTGTCGTTTTGTGATTCATTTTTTTCGGTCTTTGCCTCAGGGCGCCTCTATCCCCCCACCTGGAGGCATCCCCCGCACTGCGGCGGAGGCTATTGCCAAGGCGGCTGCGGCCGCTGCTAAGCTGGCGCTGCTGGCCCCGGGGGTCGAACCTCCCCCTCCCCGCTTCCCGGATGTGGCGGTGGTGATGCCGGCTGACGCATTCCAGCAGCGTGTCATAGACACCGTTGCGCTGTTTGTCCTGGACGACGGCTGCGCCTTTGAGCAGGTGAGCATGGCATCACTTGGCGCGCACCCCAGGCCGGCCAGCGGTACTGAGAGCCCATCCTGCTGGTGCAACAAGTGCAACAACAAGGCATCGCCCCTGGGTGCCATGTCGTGCACGGGGGCTGACTTGCGGTATGCGTGCGTGCAGGCCATCATGGAACGGGAGCGCGGCAACCCAACGTACGCATTCCTCTTCGACCTGGCGTCCCCGCTGCACCAGTACTACCGCTGGCGCGTCTTCTCGTTTGCTCAGGGGGACACGCTCACGCGCTGGCGCGTGGACCCTTTTGTCATGGTGCAGGGTGGGCCGCGCTGGCTGCCGCCGCCCCTCCCGGACGACAGCTCCGACAAGAAGCAGGAGGCGCCCACTGCGGCAGCCGGCAAAGGCAAGGTGAGTGCTCGCGCGCTGAGGGATGCCACAGTTGGAGGGTCCGGCTGCGGGCCAGCTTGCGTGCTCTAAGCGGAAGCTGGCTGGAAGGTTCACAAGGGACAGCATTTCGAGCATAGGCCCCCGCGCTGCTCTGAGGGTGCGCGGTGCGTGTGGTGGGTGCAGGGCGCCGGAGAGCGGCCTCTGAGCGACACGCTGCGGGACGAGTTCGAGGACATGCTTCGTGCGCTGACGCTGGAGCGCAGCATGGTGCGCGACGCCATGGGCTTTGCGCTGGACAACGCGGACGCGGCGGCGGAGGTGGTGGAGGTGGTGGCGGAGGCGCTCACGCTGGCGGAGACGCCCATCCCGTCCAAGGTGGCGCGCCTCATGCTCGTGTCCGACATCCTGCACAACTCCAGCGCGCCTGTCAAGAACGCGTCCGCGTACCGCACGCTCCTCCAGGCGCGCCTGCCCGACATCTTCGAGAGCTTCAACGAGACCCTCCGCAACGTCACGGGCAGAATGACCGCCGAGGCCCTCAAGGTCCGCCCCTCTCTCTAGCAGACCCAGAGGCGCTGGATTACTCTGTGTCTGTACTGTGTCTACCCTCCATGGCACATCATCCCGTAGGTGACTGCGCCTGACTCGGCCTGGCTGGGTCCGTGTCTGCAGGCGCGTGTGGGCAAGGTGTTGGCGGTGTGGGGAGACTGGTTCCTCTTTTCGGAGAGCTTCATCGCGGGCCTGCGCACCACGTTCCTGCGTCGCTCGGACACGGGCGTGCCCCCCTTCCACACGCTGCCCACCAGTCCCCCGGAGGAGGAGGCGGCCGCTCCAGAGGGCCCCTCGGCAGCGGAGGGCGACGCCACTTCGGGTGGGCTGGAGGCGGAGCTGCGTGCGCTGTCGCTTGCGGAGCTGGAGCGGCGGTGCAAGCACAGCGGGCTGTCCCTGCGCGGGGGCCGCGCCGTGATGGTGGCGCGCCTGCTGCACCTGGACGAGGAGGAGCACGGCCCGCGCAAGGGCGGCCAGCAGGAGGCACACAAAGTGGGGGGCGCTCAGGGGGCCGCCAGCGGGGGCAAGGCGAGCCGCAGCCGAGCGGCGCCCACAGGGCAGTGGCAGGCGGTGGACCCGAGCAGCGAGCCGACGGTGGGGTGGGAACAGATCGGGGCGGACGCCGTCAAGGCGGGACCGGACGGGGGGGCCGCGTTTGCCAGTGGCACCCTGCAGATTCCCGAGTACGAGGGGGGCCTTGGGGGGAGCAGTGGGCGGGCAACGAGCGAGGGGCGGCCTGCGTCTCGGCAGAGCCTGGACAAGACCGAGGGCGGGGCCGGGGGGGACAAGAAGAAGGGCCGCGCGGAGGTGGTCCTGCCGGCCTCCAAGTGGGCCCACGACGCTGCGGACAGCGACGACGACGACAACGACGACGAGAGCGCGGGGAGGCCGGCGCAGAGTGGGCAGCAACAGGGGGCAGCGGGGGGTGCCGCCGACCCTAGCGAGGATGATCGGCGGTCGTCGGACTTGGACATCTTCGAAGGCGCGGGGAAGCCCGAGAGAGCGGAGGCGCCGGGGGCCAGTGCAGAGCTGGAGGAGGAGAGGAGGTGAGGCGGACGGCGACCCACATCGCCGGCTGCTCAGGCTGCCAGAGGCGCCTCGCGCTTGGCCGAGCTTGCAGAGTGGGCAGGCTGCACAGGGGTCCCCAGCGCGGCCGGCAGATCAGGCTGGAACGGAGGGGCGATTGCAGTCCTGGCACGAAAGAGTTGACTGATGCCACGTCCCTCACGCGATGGCCCTTTGTGGTGTGTGCAGGCAGCGGCTGCGGAAGCTGGAGGTGACGCTGATGGAGTACCGGGACTCGCTGGAGGAGCGCGGGGTCAAGGATGGCGCGGAGCTGGAACGCAAAGTGGCGGCATATCGCCGGCGACTGGAGGCAGAGGCGGAGGCCCAGGCGCAGGCGCGAGCAGGGAAGAAGGCCGACGAAAGTGGGAGTGGGCGCAGGGACAAGGAAGCCAGCGGGGAGAGGCGGACAGACAGCCCGCGGGGCAAGGAGCGGAAGCGGGCCCGGTCCAGCGAGAAGACGGGGTCGGGGCGGAAACGAGCAAGGAGTAGGAGTGGAAGTCCAACGAGAGAGAAGAGTCGAGAGAGAGGGAGGGAGACGAGGGAGAGGGACAAGGAACGAGGTCGGGAAAGAGACAGAGATAGAGAGAAAGAGAGAGAAAGGGAACGAGAGAAAGAGAAAGAGAGGGCGAGGGGGAAAGATAAAGAACGGGAGCGGCGAGAAAAGCGCAGGTAAGAATATGTACAATGTTGATGCATCTCGCTAGTCTTCAAGTGAGTTTAGAAAGGTCTTCAACGTATGATCGAGTTGCATCGAGATCCAATCCAGGTGCTGTACTTGACAACCGTCGAGCAGATTTATAAGGATTCTGTACTCGCCATTGGCTCACGCCAAGATGTTGGTCTCTTTTCACATGCCGTAGCCAATGCGGCAATAAGCTTCCCATGGCATACAAGACCATGATGATTGTACAAGACCAGCAGCCGCATCGCACAGCGACGAATGACCGGACATCTGCAGCAAAGAATGCAGCGGGACAATCGCGTCCCAAAATTCAGCATATGCTACGGCCGCCTCGGCATGGCTAACTTAACGTAGGAGCCAGGGTCCATTTCTTGTTTTATATGCACAGCCAGGGTACTTCTATCATTAAAGGGGGCGTCCGCAACGCGTACCCCTTCCGTCAGAAGAACGATTCCGACGGCACTGTTTTGCCCCAGTTTCGATGCCGCCGGCAGCTGCCGCCCGTAAACTTCGGGTGCTTTCGTGGCGAAAATCAAACGCAGAATGCTGCAAAAGTGTCGCTGAAAATCGAGGCCCCGACGCCCCCTTTAACTTGACCTTCCATGTAAAATTTGCTTGGCCGGAATATAAAGTCGATATCGTAATCAAGTACGGTGGTCACTGCTAGCTTAATTTATTGTCGATCACAATCAATCAATATAGTGACGTACCATGCATGGGCAGCCCGCACCATGGCGCATTTGTGATCAAAGATAAGGCCCGTAAGGGTATAATTGATCGACGCGGTCTACAATATAATCAGAAATTGTATATAGCTAGTTGCAAGTACAGTCGGTTCATGCATGAGGACACCTACATCCGACGTTGCGGTTACGTTTGGCCGATTGGCTCGCGAACTTCTCGCGAGCTTCTATGCTTCGCCCTGAGTCATACGTCCAATATATACATACTTCGATGTAGGAACGGCCGGAATGGACGTCAAATTTGTCATCTGAATTCTTAGTAATAATTGTCACAAACTTAAAAATGTTTGATCGACACATGAACAATACTGGCAGCACGGCAAGGACACGGGCAAGGCATCGCAAGTAGCACCTCGTCACAACCATTCGTTTCATGAAGTGAATATCTTCAAAGAATCGCTTTCGGCACCCGAACGGGTATACTGGTCCGAGCTACTACTTCCTGCAGATCCAATAACAATGCTTGTAGCTTCTCTGTGTTGAGTTCCACACCACTCCCAACTCCAGAATGACTCCCCTCAAGCAATCTATGGTCCGAAGTTTCTTGCTCATGCTGGCTGGGACGATTTTCTAGACTTGATTTTTTTCTCGCCAGTTGCTGCATGTGAGAAGAGTCTGCTTCAATCAAGGTTTTAATAGCAACTCTCGGTTCAAGGATTTCGTGGTCAGAATTCCTCCACAAAAAACAGGAAACCATGCAACTACCAAGATCAGGAAGGTCTCCAAAGAGGACAGTTGAAAATTTTCTGAAGTGCTTCATGCCGGTCTAGTGTACCACCACCTGTGCAGCCCAACCATTGGCGCCTCCATGTCACGGTGAATTTAAAGGCTGCCCAAAAATCTCATGATAACCAAACATGTCCATATGGGCAAACTGAATCATTTAATCCACTGAAGGCTGCCATGACATAACAATCCATCTGTTTTCAAACCCTCCCTTCTCAACACTCAAGCCACTCGATACTGTATACTAAGATCCGGATTAGATGCGAGGTTACTTATTGAAACAACGTGCGTTGCCCGCTCAGTTGAGGCTCCAGACAGCTCCTTTTCTGCAACAAACCAACGAGTGGCACTCAACTCGATGCCGCAAAAACATGCTAAAAATAGATTGTACAATTAGAGATTCACTCACAATCGTTTGTCGAACCATGTCACATGACTTCTGAAGTCTCTGAATGTTCCAATGCAGGTCTGCTAGGATCCTCCTACTGTCAGATTCCTCTTGTCCTGGCCCGCTTCTGCATAAAGACAACAGAAGTGGTGAGCTCCTTGGGCAAACACAAGGATCACTTCTTACCTCGGGTCAACTTATCAGGCCCATATTCCCACATACGCCCAACACCACAGATTTGGACACGAGAGTAGAATGAAGATGCAGGGCAAACTTAACTTCAGCAGTTTTTATTTTGGAAGAGACTCTCTTAAATATGATGAAAGGATCCGCTACTTTCAAACTCCTGTCTTAGCAAAAAGTTACCTGGCGGTGGTCTGTCCCTTCGTCTCCAAGAGAAAGAATATTGACGATGCCAGCTCCTGCAGAGGGGGCTGCACTTGATTGACAGTTTCCAGTGGAGACAAGACTGAGGTGCAGGGTCATTTGTCGTCTTGCTCTCATGGCCCATCGAAGCTGCCAAAGCAACTTCCACAGGAGCAGCCTGGTACTACTCTTTCCCATTGAACAAGACGGGTGGATGAGTATTAAAAGTTGCAACCGCCAGGCCAAGCATGGGCCTTGCGACTTACCCAAAACGCTGATTGGATTGCAGTAATGCCATCCTCCATTGCGAAAACGTTAAGGTCAGATTTCACCTTCGTTTGCCTCCACCTTGGTTCTAACAAGTGCTACCTTCCGGCGAGGAGAAAAAGGAAAAGGAGGCTTTGTCCCTGCAACCAAGGCGAATTGTGTCTCACCGCACTCTGGCCTGGCCTGCCAAGCGCTCTGAATGCTTGTAGACAAAACATATGGCGGCAAAGACACTGAGGAGACACTGATTTCGTGCTTCAACTTCAAGTTGCAGCAACGCCACCATTCCTGACCACGAATGGAACCCATTTGAATGGAACCCAGTTGAAGTTCAACTTCCAGTTTAGGGTTCCAGGATACCAGAATAGCCTGCATGCAGCATGATACCCTAGGTACTAGCTGTGCTGCATGGCGGGTCCTTCATGGGCCATAATGATATGGACCCATGGTCCACGCGGTCATTCCGGCCCATGGGCCATACCTTCTTCTGCACCCAGGGCCAGGCTCCCACGGGCTAGTGCTATGTAGTCATGAATACTGAGTTTTCTGCTGCCAGAGGTGCAATCCAAAACATTTGCGGAGTGTAAATACTCTTGATGCTGTGACCATGTTGGCCACCCCAGGGCGTTCCCCTCGCCACTTGGAGCAACCATCCCCAGCTTCAAGGCGTACCACCGAGTACAATGAGATTCATGGAGGTGCGGTGGCGCGAATACCAGAGTCTCTGGGGGGGCCTCCTCGCAAACGGCCTAGAAAGCAGCAAGTGCTGGATGAGGATACCTATGTGGCTGCCATCGAGCGGATAATCGAGAGAGACTTCTTCCCTGACAACTCCAAGCTGCAAAACCGGTTGGACTGGTTGGAAGCAGTGCGCAGCGGAGACCCCGACAAGATCCGCAGCGTGCAGATGACCATTGTGCGCCAAAGGGCAGAACGCGCAGCGGCAGGCGTCACGCCATCACTGGCAGGTGAGCCAAGGCCTGCTAGGCGCAACAATTTGAATCTTACAAATCAGGTGTTCTTCTTGATTGTTCTTCTTGACATCACACGGCTACTTTACAACCCCTGCCGTTCCTGGACAATGGTTAGCATGCTCCTGCCCCTTTCCAGCGTTCAAGTGGCGGCTCGCTTGAGCTTCTTCAACGAGGAAAGCAAGAGGTGCCCTACGCTCTGCATAGCGCTTCTAGGATGCGGGTTTGGTGAGCATGCCAGACACTTCTGAGCAGTCTCTGCTTGTTAGCAGAGATACCTCTCGTGGTTGTGCACCGTGTCATGGGGTTGGTCGGTTGGCTTGGATTCCTGCTTTTTACAGATTCAAAGTGACCATCCCTGCTGGCCCCTGCCAGGTGTCACTCCAGGGGGTCCTCTCGCCACTCCCGCTAGTATGCTGGGGGCCGCCAGCCCTGCCTTCTCTGTGCGCTCGCATGCTCCCTCCACCGGTGCTGCCCCCCAAACAGGAGAGTCAGACGAGGGGCCAGACGTGGCTCTGTCGCTGGACCAGTTCCTGCGTGTCTACACCAGTGAGGACAATGCTTCGTTCTCGGAGATCTTGGAGAAAGTGAACCGCAAGCGGGCAGTCAAGAGTGCACACCTGCGGGAGGGCGAGCAGGGAAAGCAGCCCCGGCTGACAGAGCACGGAGAGGCGGCGCTGGAAGGGGGGCCCACCAGAGCGGCTGAACCCACGGACGGGTTTGGGACTTCTAACCAGCCAACGGACCGGCTGGAGCTGTGGCCATACCAACCAGCAAATGCCCTCTACTACTTTGGGAACGACGCCCCGCTCTCTGAAAGTGAGCTGGCTGAGAGGACCAAGGGGCCCCCCAAGGCAATCAACCGTGGCGCAACTCGCTTCCACGGCAACGTTTTTGAGAAGAGCAAGCCGCAGGAGACGGTCATCCTGTACGAACCGGTGTCGGAGACGCCAACGGGAGATGCACTCTTGCAGCGCGAGGTTGATGCAATAAAAAAGTCGTACACACAAGGGGGGAGGGAGCCGGGGGGCTCCTATAGCTATGTCGCGACCCCGTCGCCGGCGCCTGGGGTGGACGCTTCGCCTTTCATGACGTGGGGAGACATTGAGGGTACCCCTCTCCGGCTGGAAGCAGAAGATACCCCGGTGAGCATCGGGGGCGGAGAGGGGCCCCTCTTCAAGATGCCAGCGCCGCCTGCTCGTGATCGGCAAGCCCATCAGATGTCAAGGAAAGCCGCTAGCAACCTCCGGGCCCGGCAAGACATTCAGGCAGGGAGGACTCCGAGAGCCTCCTCGGGGGCGGCAAGCCCCGCAATGGGAGCGTTATCGGCAGCTGGGCAGAAGCTGGTCAACAAGGCGTTGGGGAAAAGCAGCAAGGACATAGATGTGGGCCTAAGACAAAGCTACAGAGCTAGCCCAGCCAGGAGTAAAGCATTGGCCACACCAATGACGCGTGGTGGTAGTGCCACGCCGTACGTGGGCTCTCATAGGGCTCCCTCGTTAAGTCCGTTCGCATCCAAAGGGGATGCATTAGAAGATCCCAAATGATGGTTTCTTCCAAGTTACGCAGGACTACGGAGCGCAGGCAATAGTAGCGCTCCATTGGTGGGCCGGAACACCTCCAAGCGGGACTCAAAATGTAGGCCTATTTCAGGATTTCCTCATAGATGCCTGGGCCCGCTTTCAACAACTTACCAAAAGGTTGCTAGGCATGTCATGGTTGCATGCAGCATCACTGAAGCCTGCTCTTAATAATTGCATGTATTGGATCCAGTCATATGCAAGGATGCAAGAGCTCTTGATAAATCCAGTCAAATTTCACTATATATATGATCTAGCTCTCATGCATATCATGCATGTCACTTCACCAGACGTGAGTCGATCCCGCGGCATATACCATGCTCAGTGAGTTCATGCGACCATGTTATATAGACTCGCGCGAGCCTGTCCTCATGCAATCATGATCCGACGAATTCTTAGATGTGTTGGAATTGATCCACACACTGTACATACGCATGCATATCTAGAGATAAGCCTAGGTTCTTCAAACATGCGAAGCGCATTTGCAGTTTTATCGTTATCCAGGGGGCTGGGGTCAAAGTTCAAGGCATATGCAGTATGCACATGCGCGCACTGATTATTGGTTTATGACGTTTGGTCAAAATTCCGCCAGCCAGCCCTAGGCCCGGCATTAGCCCCATGCCTCGCGAAACGATTACGGTTGTGTTGTTTGGCAAAAATAGCATTTTCCTGTAGTTGCCAGTTGCGGGAGGCGTTGCCTCACAATTCACAACTGACCCTTCTATGTGCGGTCTGCATCGAAGTACAACCATGCAGAGTCTGCACCATCATCAACATACCAGTTACTGGAACGTTCATTGCCAGTCATGTTCATCTCGACTCCTCAGTATCGGAAAAGTGCGACTTGCCAACAATGTAATTGCTTCACCTCAAGCCTGGGCCCCCGCCGGCTTGATTATCCGCACCTCCGGAGGTTAGAGTCGGGGGAGAGGCGGCAACCTTGGGCGGAGCAAGAGGCGCTCTGCCCCGTGGAGCAGTCTGATTCTGTGCCCCTGAGCCTGGTTGGAAGAGGTGTGGCCGCGGTCCCTGCATGTTGAAACCGGACGGCAGGACACCGCCGGGTCGCAGATGTTGGCCGAAGTGAGGCGGGGCCAGTGGGCGCATCAGAACCTGGCGGGTTGGCCGCACCGCGGGGTGTCGCTGCGAGGGCAGAGGCTGCCCCAAAGGAGGGGGAGGCTGCGCAACGTTCGGGTAGGAGGCGCGGGGAACAGGCTGGCCCAGAGCAAGGGGGGCGGGACCCCACCCGGCCGGTAATTGCTGGACCGGCCGAAAGGAAGCCTGCATGAAACCAACGACCCTGAGAGCTATTAGAGCATAGCTTGTAAAATCCCATGTAAGATGAAAAACGCAGGAGCGCAATCCTCGAAGCTGCATAGGATGCAGGACCTTCGTCTTGCAGGTGGAAGGAGTAGTCATCCACAGTCCCAATGACACACACTCGTCACTCGATTCCCCGGTCCACCACTCCTGTTGCCCGCAAAGCTCGTGGGAGGGCCCTTGCCTGTCTGCCTGCTTGTGCAGGTTGCCACTGCTGCTGCTGCTGCTGGTAGGCTGGCCGGTAGGGTGCCGGCCCCACCGCCGGGCCCCGCTGCTGCTGCTGCGGCGCCTGCTGGTGGTACTGCGGCACGTAACGACCCGCTCCGCCTGGCTGGCGGGAAGCGGGCGGCGCTTGCCCCGCTGGGAAGCGCTGTGGGAACGCGGAGCCGGCGGGAGCCGGCGGGGGGCGGTAGTGGAGAGGGGGTGGCCCGGAATAGGCCGGCCGCATAGGGCTGAGCGTCTCCTCGTACTGGCGCACTGCAACAGAGGGGCAACAGAGGGGCACAGTCAGGACTGCCCATGGTCGTCCACGTCCACACGGGCCGAGTGCTGTTGGGATGAACATGTCGCTAGTACGTCGGAGATGCCACGCTGACTTTTGGGAATCCCCAGTCAAGTCCCAAATCTGGCGAGCGCGAGGGGTCCGCCAGTCCCGGTGATCCGTACTTGCAAGGAAGGCATGACAGTGGGTGCTCACATCGTTTCTGCCCCACGGAGATGATCTTCTTCAGGCACGACGCAAACTCCTCCAGCACCGTTTGCTCCTGCGCCGCGTACAGCCGCGCTGCGGCGCCTTCGCCCCCCCCCTCGTCCGCCCCTCCGTACAGCCCCCCCGGCAGCGCTACCTGCACCTCTTTCTCCGCTGGGAGCTCTTCGTCGCACGACAGCAGCAGCGCCTCGGGCGACTGCTCCTCGGCCTCGCCCGGCCCCGGCCCCTGCCCCGCGGGGCTGCCCCCGCCCGCCCGCCGCTCCTCCACCGCCGTGTGCGCCCCATCGTCGCTCGTCCCGGGGCGGCCCCCATCATCGGAGCGGGCCGCCGCCGCCGCAAAGGCGGCCTCCTGCCGGTGCTGCTGGGCCGCCAGCAGGCCGGGGTGCTGGGCTGCACCAGCGAGGCACGGCGCAACAGTCAGGCCCCGCCGAGAAAAGGCGGCAGCAGCGCAGGGGCTGCAGGAACAGAAAGCGGCGCAGCGAGCGGAGCCTAGGCAGAACACAGACTCGGCGTCAGTGTCACACTGCAAGACCGGCAGCCCGCTGGAGACCGGGGTGGGGAGTGGGCCGTGCGGGGCGGGCGTGGGCGGACCTTCGAAGTTGTTGGCGACCTCCTGCGTGACGATGGCCAGCAGCTTGCACAGCTCCTGCACCGCGTCCGCCTTCACCACGCCCGACAGCAGCGACCTGCGTGCACGCCCGGACACAGCCGCCAGTGAGCACGGACCAGCGGGGAGACAAGAGAGGGGCGCACAGCAGCTGGCAACCCGGTGTGCAGAGGGAGTCCGTCCGGCGGGGCTGACACTGCGGTGACATTCGGGTCTCACCTGGTGGGGGGCTTTTGCGGTGCCCGTCCTGCGGGGTAACTACTGCCCGGTATGCTCTTCGCCCCGCTGCCACCCTGCAACATTCCGCACAAAGGCCTCAGCAGTGAGAGGAATGAAGAGGAGCTGAGAGGCCCGCTGCAGACGGCGGCAGGCGCCCCGCTGCCACGCCCATGTACAGCTCATGGCAAATCCTGGCCTCTAAACCAGGCAGCCTGGCTGTCCTCAATCTTTCTGCACGCAGTGTTTGCCGGCTCGTCCAAGCATGGCGATGCGTGTACCTGGGCGGGCTTGGCTTGCGGGGGACTCTGCAGCGCGCGGTCTTGCAGGCGCGCCTTCTTGAACGGCGGGGGCGAGGGCGCCGCATAGCCGGGGGGCCCTTGTGGTGCAGGGTCGATGGAACCCGCTAACAGCAGGCGGCGCTCGTCGCTGCCGTCGAAGTTCTTGCAGTCGATGCACTTGCACGCGTCGGTGCACAGCACGCCCGCCTGGAAGCACTCGCAATACTTCTTGAGGCAGCCCGACTTTTTGCAGTGGCAGCCCTTGTGGTGGTGCCCCGCGACTGGCGCCTCGGTGGCCGCCGGATCCGCCAGGAACGCAGCGGGCGCCGCTGCCTCCTGCACACGCAGCGCGGCACGCGGTCACCGGCCAGCGGCACATCAGCAGGCACACACGCCGCAGAGCAGATCCCAGGACGAAGCCAAGTGCTAAGCTGCTGCCCCTGCGTACGAGCAGTGCTCTCGTCGAGGGATAGGCCCTATGATGATGGCCCAACAGGCCTTGCCTTTCACAACGGATTGCTTTGACACCAGCAGCAAGGGATCGAGGCCGAAAGACAGCCTCGGGTGATGCGGCTATGGAGCTCCGTACTCTCGCTGCCTGTCAGAGTGGCCGTACGAACGGGCCTAGTCCAAGCATGCAAGGGCCGCGTGCAGGTTCTGCGAAGTGCGAGAAATGAGTGGAACAGCGAGTCACGCCCGTGTCGGCCAAGCAGACGCAGACCTCTCGCAGTTGCTCCCAAGATTTGTCCTGTCAGAAACATCCAAAACCTTCACGCTTATACCTGCTCCTTCCAAGGGAAGCCTAACTTGGAACTTGCAAAGCTACAACACTGCGCACCCCGGCTTACGCCGTTCCACACCTGTTCATTCTTGACGTCGGGGCTGGGTGCAATCTTGGGGCGGAAGGCGTTGGGGTTGCGCTCCAGCGTCGCCTCCACCGCCTCCTGGCGCGTGACTTCATTCTCGGCGTTGTTGCAGCAGCCCTGGCAGTTGCACTCCGGCCCGCAGTAGTGGCCGCTGGCAAAGCACTCGCAGTACCTGCACGCACACCACCGCTCCCCCGCTCAGAGCCCCCCTCTCGGAGCACAATCGTGTGTGGAGCGCAACGGAACAGTTTCGCATATATGCACAATACTCAAGCAGGTTGCTCTCTTGGCAGGCTGCCAGGCGTGGAGGCGAGGACTTACAGCTTGAGGCAGCGCGAGTTCTTGCAGTTGCATTGCTTCTTCTTGGGCGGGGGCTCCGGCTTGTCTGGCGCAGCGCGCAGGCCGCGGTACGGAGACGCCCCGGGAACAGGCCTGGCAGCAAGCAAGCAGCGTACGCAGGGTGAGGCGCGCAGAGAAAGCTCGAGGCGAACGAGCAGCCAGGTGGGGCTGCTTGAAGAGGTAGCTGGGGCAGGGGGGCAGCCGGTGGCCTGTGGTAAGGGATTATGGCTCCTGCAAACGAGTCACTGTGTACGAGATGCAGATGAAAGCCGAATGGCTCCAACAGCGAGCCATCTCTGATGGCCTACTCAAGTGCAAAGCCGCCCCGTCCCCATTGCTATTCTAGCGCACTCTGGGCTGTACACTGCTGGCCGCTCACCTGGCAGGGGAGCCGTGTGGGGGGAGGGGCCCTGGAGGAAAGAAGCGGCGGGGAGGGCTGGCCCCCAGCTGTGCGCTGCTGTCTGGTGGGGGGGGGCAGGGAGGCCGTACGGCTGGGCCCCAAAATCGAGGTGGCGTACCGGCTTGCGCAGGGCGCCGTCAGGGGCGGGGCGGCCCGGGGGGGACAAGGCGCGCGCGTGGCTGGGGTCCATGGAGCGCACAATGAGGCGCGGAGAGGGGAGCTGGGAGGGGGGGCAAGCGGGGCCGGAGGGCCAGGCGGTGACAGGGGAGCTGCCAGGCGCAGCGGAGCCACGTGATGGCAAACCTGGACGAGCACAAGGGACAAAGTGAGGGCGAAAGGAGCGCGACAGAGATCAATTAAACCCAGAACTCATGCACGGGCCCAAAGAAGGAGGCCCCTTGCAATGCATAGTGAAAGACCCCCAAGCTGACATGAAGCCCGGTGGAATAATGTATGCAGCATCCCAGCCTATACCACAATACCTGAGCAACGGGAGATGATGCTCAGTTGCTCGAGGTACCACCTTCTATGCACCTTGGCGTCAGGACCTCAAGTATGCCTTCAGTGACCCCCATCAAGTCTGGACAATGTTGTGTTTGTGCCTCTTGGCATCTGCCTACTTGCCCCAGAGGCCCTCAAGAGAGTCACAAACATACCGCCCGCTGGCTGCGTGTTGCAGTGCTCCCTCCCACTCCCTCATTGAGTGCCGACCCCCCCTGCCTCACCTCCTTGGCTGGGCAGCCCCTGGCGGCTGCCTGCGGGCTGGTGCTGCCGGCCCCCGCCTGCCTCCCCCGCCATGAGGTGCACCCCAAAGGGCAGCGGCTGCCGCAGCGCTGCGCTGCCCTGCTGGCTGCTGCCGCCCAGGAACCGCGGCGCAGGATGCCGCACCGGCTGGGCCAGATGACTAGCAGCCGAGGGGGCATCGCCACGGCGACCGGGGCTGCTGAGCTGCGGCGCCCCGGGCTTGGCCGCGCCCACCCCCCCTGGGGCCTCCCAAGTGGCATTATCTGGCTGCTGCCTTGCTCCCCCTTGGAAAGAATTCCTGGCTGCCTGCATGCCGCCATTGCTGGCGCCTAGGCCAGCTGCCTCGCTGTGTCCCGCTGGCGGCGCACTGGCCGGCAGCAGGGCGCCAGGCAAGGGGCTCCCCACGGGGCGGGCCGTTGTGGACGCATGCTTCTGGCCGGCCTGCCCCTGCCGCCGGCTCGGCTGCTCCTCTGCTGCAAGCACCACGGTGTGCGGCGGCCTCTGTATCTGGCCCACTCCATGCCCATCTTGAACGGCTAGTCTTACGCTGCCAGGCACCGTGTGGGCAGTCCTGTCGTCGCGTGGCGCCTGATTGTTTGCCATGCCCCATTCACCTTCACCTGCTCGGGGGGGCAGTGAGGCAGGCGCAGCTCCTGCCTGCGCTAGCCGCCCTGCCTGCTGCTGTGCTCCTGCTGCTGGCCGAACAAGGCCCCCTTGCTCCCGCACTGCTCCCCCCTCCATCGCGGTGCCCCAGGTGGGGCCGGATCTGCCCCCACCCGCTCAGCACTTCAAAGTGAAGCAAGAGCGAGGATGAACATCTATCCTTGGGCATGCGTCGATCCAAAAGAGGCGGGCTTTTTGAGGAAGGTACGAAACCTGTGTCTCTCAGCTTTGGAAAGATGTTTTGGAGGGTAAGCATCAAGTCAGACTACTCAAGGAGTCTCCTTCTAGATTGACCATGGCTAGCTTGTCTTTTACCAAGCTTCCGCATCTCTCCTGCACACGAATTGGCTCTCAATGATAGTCACAATGGTTCGCAGCTGCAAAGTTGCAGACGTTCGGCCTGGAAAGAAAGTAGATCACCAATTTTGCCATGGGACATGAACCAAGCTAGCAAGCCATTACCACAGCGCCCCAGGAGCAGCCACCATGGATCTTAAAGAACTTTTTGGCTGACAGTGAAACCGATGCGGCTTTGAACCACGCAGCTTTCATGGAGAGGCTGTGCAGCGATGGATCAAGAATTCGGGTTATGGTGACTCGTCCAGAGGGAGACGGACGTGCTCATCGAAGATCCAGCTTGCGGAAGCTTGCTTTCGAGGGGCCTCGTTTCCACGGTACTTGATTCTTGCCTGCCTTCAGGCGCGGCTTGAGGGTTCAACGACCTTCCAAAGGGGGCCCTTGACGTCCCAGTAATTCGAATTTTCGAACTTTGAATGAGGAAATGTTTAGCGAGCGCGTGTGGTGCGTCAGCGGAACTGAAGCCGTCCGATGCAGTGGTCCAAGCACGCAGGCCGTTCGATGGTCAACCAGTCTTTCCATTCTCGGACGCGGGGCAACTTCTGTGGCCGTGTTAGGGACCGATGGTTTGCAAGTGTGAATGCTTCGCTCTCTTTCTACCGAGCTCCGGCCCAATAAATAGACCGAGCCATCCAACCGGCCGAAACATACCCAGAGGCTAGTTCTTATCTGCTACCTATGTATTGACTGCATCCTGGCTAAAGGCTACATCCTCACCGGTAGATCCTTTTTAACACCGACTGCTCTGTACTCCATTTTAGCGGTGACTGTTGCCATAATCATTGCCATTGCCAATGCCAGGCATCTTGCTGGCTAGGTATTGTGAATCCGTGAAAGCCTAAAGTTGGCGTTTGTTCAGATCGAGCGGCAACGATCCCAGTTGGCATTGATCCTCATCATTAAACCAGGGCCAGGGCGTACCACCACAACTAAGGGCGTTCTTTTCAACCAACACCGCCCCCTAAAGATAGGGATATAAGCATATAAGACTCTTAGTTACATGCTTGCTGCCGGCCATTGTTGGTGGTTGTGTCGTTCATTCGTCAAGATACTCTCCTTGAGAAGCCCGATCCCTCCCACAAGGCTTGCATACGGATTTTCTCGAAAGGGGGGAAAGGTGCATTTGAGGCAGGTTCCGGTCTGGCATTTGTTGCTGCCCAACTCCGCCGCGTGGGTGCGGTTCTTTTCTTGGCACCTCGAAGTGTCCACCCTCGCTTGGTGCAGCGAGGGACCATGAGGCTGGCCCAGCTGCTGCCCCTCCACCATGTTGCCACGCTGCGTGGCCCTGCCTGCTGCCACCGCTGCTAGCCCCTGCTCCCTCTCACTCGCGTCCATTCCTCAGACCGTCCCTCGGCAGCTGGCCAGTCCCCCAGCCAGCAGCGCGCGTGCCAGGCCCTCAGCATTGTTCCTCCCGGCCGCTCCCCGGGGTGTTCTTGCTGCAGCTGGCTCTCCCGCAAGCGTGACCGAGGCGCCTGCCCTCCCCGCCCCCCCCCACCGCCTGCCCCGCATGGCGGCCCTGCCGGCGGTGGCGCCGAAGCCCCCGGTGGGCAGCCCCAGCCACACTGCGACGGAGGAGCTGTACGAGGCGAGCCAGAAGATCCTGGACCGGCTGCCCAAGAAGCAGGTGTACCTCTTCTACTGCACCGAGAACAAAGAGCTCGCGCAGCAGGTCGCCCGGGACGGCGAGAACATCGAGCTCCGCGAGATCGAGTGGAAGTGAGCAGCAAGGCCCCAGTGGCAGCCTTTCATCATACACTCTTGCGGCCAATGTGCCTGCTGATAGCTTCTTGCAGTGTTGGGTCCTTGCTGGATGGTGGCCTCGCTGAATGTTCCTCGGCTCGATCAATGACAAATTCCAGAGAAAGTAAGCAGACGAGTTACAGAGTAGAGTGGTACAAGTTGTACTTGAGTGTTTAATCTGCAGCGATGGGATCTCAGGAGTTCTGCACGGCACCAAAATTGTGCTGAGCCCCCTCTGCGGCTTCAAAGAAATCAATCTGCGTTCTTGGGGGAAGCCAGTTCCTCACTTTGGCTGCTGTGCGGTCCTGATTTGCAGGCGCTTTGCCGACGGCTTCCCCAACCTCTTTGTCCCTGGCGCGCACGACATTCGCAACCGGCACGTGGCATTCCTGGCGTCCTTCCACAGCCCCGCAGTCATCTTTGAGCAGATCAGCATCATCTACGCCCTGCCGCGCATGTTTGTCGCGTCATTCACGCTCGTGCTGCCCTTCTTCCCCACGGGCACCGCGGAGCGCATGGAGGACGAGGGCGACGTCGCCACTGCGTTCACGCTCTCGCGCATCCTGTCCAACATCCCCATCTCGCGCGGCGGGCCCACCTCCGTGGTCATCTTTGACATCCACGCCCTCCAGGTCAGGCCCCGCAGAGCAGGACCCCCACACGAGGCGGCCTGTGGCATCTTAAGCCATCTCGATTGACTGCGGTGGTGAGACAGGCAGGAAAGTAGCCACCGGCAGTGCTCTGCGTAGACGCTTTTGTTCACGAAAGGTGGATCTAGTACCAAGTTCTTGCCTCCGAGTCTACTGACATCGAAGGACTGTGCCCTGCAGATCCAGACAGGTCCAGTCCTCATTTATTTTCCGACCTAGAGTGTGCCCCAGAAGGCAGCCCTGCATGCCTGAATTTTGAATCAAGTGCTTCTAGGGCAAACTTCCGATTCCTCCTTTAAAAACCCTTGTGTGGGCCCTTCCGCCACGTGTTCGCCCGCAGTGTATGTGCACTGACCCCGCCGTGGTTGTATGTGCAGGAGCGCTTCTACTTTGGCGACAACGTGCTGCCCTGCTTTGAGAGTGGCATCCCCCTCCTCAAGGAGCGCCTGCGCCAGCTGCCCGACGCCGACAACGTGAGCCACCCCTCCCTTCCCGCGTCCTGGCCAGCGAGGCAACTTCCAGCGGACCATGCTGCCAACGCCCCATCGTCATGGACAGGCTGCGCCAAGAGCGCCTGTCATCCCAGGTACCCTGCTGTGCGGGTACGCTTGCTGGCTGTGCCTGACCCTGCTGCGTGCTGCTGCGGTGCAGGTGGTGGTGGCCTTCCCGGACGAGGGGGCCTGGAAGCGCTTCTACAAGTCGCTGGGCGAGTACGAGACGGTGAGCGGGCCCCCGCCTTGCCTGGCCACTCCGCCTAGTCTGCCAGACAATACCGGCCTTGCCCCAAGTCGTGCAAGTGCCACAGATGTACCGCACAAGAGAGGGCGGCCCTTCATATCGCCTGGATCGATCAACAACGAAGTGTTGCTCGTCTGAGTCCATGCATACCTAGCTCTCTTTGCAGTGGGGAGGAAACGTGCTACCTACCCGAGGCGACCCTGGCGGTCTCTGGCGCTTCATTGGCAAATGTGGCTCGTCAGCCTTTTGCACCTTACATCTCTTCGAGTTCCAGCTCAACTCCGCCCTGCTGGAACAAGGTGGCGGGGCGAGTGGTCCGTGTTTTGCAACCGTTGTAGCCAGCGTGACACCCCGGCTCGGTGGACTGACCGCTTACTCACTTGGCACAGATCATCTGCACCAAAGTGCGCGATGGCGCCAAGCGCATTGTGCGGCTCAAGGAGGGCGAGCCGGAGGGGCGCCACGTGGTGATTGTCGACGACCTGGTGCAGTCGGGCAGCACGCTCATTGAGTGCCAGGTGTGCGCGCAGCCCTGGCTTGGGGCACACCCTCTCCCGACGCCCTGGTTGAAGGTCATCTTCTGCCGTGCTGTGCGCTTTTGCCCTGGCCGCCTTGCATACCGAATTGCTGGTGTTGGTTGCGAGCGCCGGCTTGCATGCCTGCCCGGCAACCCTGGGGCGCGGCCCGCTATGCCCGTTGTGACCCGGGCGTTGCTGCGGTGTGAGTGCAGAAGGTGCTGGGGGCGCTGGGCGCGTCGCGGGTGAGTGCCTACGTGACGCACGGCGTGTTCCCCAACAACAGCTGGGAACGCTTCCAGTGCGACAACGGAGGTGAGCGCCCCAGGCGGTTCCCCTTAGAAACCTGGTGGCGAGGCTAGAGATTTCACTTGCAGGCGTCTGTCCATGACCCCATCCGATGTGGTCCTCTCGGTGCAGCCGCCCATGCCGGCTCGACCCCTTTCTCTGTTTGACTGCCACACTCAATGCCCCCTGCGCGCACGGCCCTGGTCTGTGGTCCTGCCCGGCGCTGACCCCGGTGGCGGTGCGCGTGCAGAGGGCCCGCAGCACGGCTTTGCGCGCTTTTGGATCACGGACTCGTGCCCCCAGACGGTGGCTGCCGTCAAGGGGCGCGCGCCGTTTGAGATCCTGAGCCTGGCTGGGCCCATTGCCGCAGCGCTGCACATCTGAGGGCCGCCGCAGGAGTGGGCAGCGGGCAGCGGGCAGGGCAAAGCAGCGCGACAGGTACGACAGAGAACGAAACTAGAACCCATTTGAAACCGCTTCTCAATATTGGTGTTGCCTCGGAGGGAGTCTGATTACATCACCTAGGGGGAGGAATCATTGTAGCAGTCTGGTACTGTAAAGATATGGGGTACCGTTTGCAGGCTCTGGGAGATGCAAACTTATCGGAAAATGAAAATGAAAAGGTCGTTCTCCATCTAATAACGCAGTAGCTTGAAAGCTCATTAGGAAGTCACTGGATCCGGGAATTTACATTCGAAGTACTACGGTCGACAATCTACCTAGGTTTTTGAAATTGCAGGAAGGATGGTCTGTAAACCCTGTGTTTCTTATCGTCACAGCAGGCTTGAGGAAAATGTAGTCTGGTCACAGCATGATGCGAGCTCCATAGCCATACGCAAGCACTGACGAATCAGGGAATGATTGGGTATAACCTGGATCATTCCAACAACGCTATGGTTTCTGAGAAATTGAACCCATGTTGGATATGCGCTGCCTGACACGATCAGTGCAGCCCGACGGGCCCTAGCAAAAAGGGGCGGTATAAGTCCGGCAGCCACGGCGGCGCTCTGTCGACCTTTTGCAGACGAGCCAGCCCGGGCTTGATTTTTTGCCAATCGACAAATTGGTATATCTGTGTCCGGCCAGCCCGCCCCGTCAGATCGAATGGAAGTCAGATCAGAATCATATCACTGTTGCCAGGTGCGGCACACAGTACAACCTATGTGCGTCCGCTCCGGCATACACGGCGCTTCATGCAACCGAGTCTAGAGCCGCCTTAGTACACTATGATAGCTGGGTTCCACTGAGTATCTTACTACCAAGTATAGCAATTAATGACCGAGTGCCACATGTTCGAAGTCCAAACGTATTCACTTTGAATATAGTATGTACTGTCCATGGTAAGTTTGCAAGAGGCGCAGTTCATGCGATTAGATTTGCATAATGATACGTATACCGTGTACCTGGCAGATCCGTGATCTGAATCGCATGTCTTAAAAATGGTCACTATATATAATCGCCGGAGGCCAGACATGAATCTATAGCCACGGCCAACCAGATCAATTACCAAGTTTTAGTATTTACTAGGCCCAGCGTATACTATAACATGCGTATACGCGGTATATACCGCGTCCGCCTCACATGGCCTCCCAACAAGTTGAGTCCACTGATGATAGCTTGCTGCGACGATATATATACTAGTACAAATTTGATCGAAACTGAAAGCTTCCAGAGCTATACTATCTACATAGATATCGCACGGCAGCTAGAGCGACAAGCAAACGAACTCAAACAAGGTGCCTTGCATGCGCCGGGATGCCGCGTCCATCCGTCAGTGCTCCCAAAGTTGATCTTATGTTCAAACTTTGACGCGATTTTCATCAGGCCCGGACGCAACTTGTCCGGCCAACAAGAGTAGTACGACTTTCTAAGGACCATGCTGCAGCTTTCAATACACTGTCTTGGAAGAGTTTGATGATCGTCCAACCTAAGAATAACATACATTTACTATGTCTTGTTGGAAGACTCTGTGCAGCGCGGCCGCAGATTTCAAGCGACCGCCAGCTTTCGCATGAAATTCTAGCTCCATATGTTACCACCTATCTTGAGGACCGTGCACAATTCTCCAATTGGAAATCCTAGACTAGTCTAGAGTAGTCAACACATTAGGCTGCCTTTCTCACTCAACTCGATGCTCGCCAAACACAAGCAGCAAATGCTGTACCCGTTTACTTCTTCACGAGCAAAAATTCGACGCACTCATGGCCTCACGGCAGTATTTTACACAGGGGCCACGGACTATCTCTCCCCTCTCTGCTCCGGCGTGAGGCCCTTGCCCTTGCTGCACGCGGGGCAGCTGATGAGGCCAAAGCCTTGGCAATCAAAGCACTTGTACCTCTCAAACATGTTGCCGTTCTTCTTGTTCTTCCCGGATCCCTGCACACAGGCGGATACGCGGGTTAAGCGATGGGGCCTGGTGAGACCGACCAGAAGCATTGTGTTGGGCGAACTTGATGGATGGAAGCGAAGCTTGAGCAGGTGAGCCAGGTGCGGTGATAAGAGGGGCTCACTTTACAGCCGGGGCACTCCACGCTCCCTTTGTACCCACACTTGGCACAGCCCTGGCGGCCCCCACTGCCCTGCACCCCATTCGAATGACATTCAGATGGAGAGCAGAATCTTTGGTTGAAACAAAGATTGAAAGGGCACAAACAACGTGAACTTGAAAGAGCCTTCTGAAGCTGCCCCCTGCATCTATGCAAAGCCAACGCAAAAGTCATGGACAGAACAAGGCCCTGGTGATTTTGGAATAAGCAGGCCTCGTCATGAACACAACTGAAGCCCCGAAATGATGTAGGATGCCAGAAGTCGAACTTTATTGGAGACCCAACAATACAATCCCGGCGAACTAGCCCTCAGTGCCACCCGTACAGCATTGCTGCTGGGCTGGCTCACTGCAGCGGCGCCTCGTGGGGCTCCCAAAGACCCAAAGGGTCGGCAACTCAGGGGAATAAAATACATCACAGTCCTCAGCTTGGGAATGAAAGGTGACTCGACAACTATCAAGGACGTTGCAAGGCGGCTTGGCTGTGCCTTTGACCAATGTATGAGCGAGGCACCTCCTTGCCATTAAATGAATGAAGAGAACGAGAGTTCTGAAAAACTCCGCTGGTCAACTCCACTGACATTTGTTAGTGGTGATGGGCATAGCTTCCTGCTCCTTCGTGAGTCCTGCAGGCATCGCCCCACAGCATGGCCCTCTGTGGGACTCACCTTGCTGGTCTTTCCACCAAACCCAAAGAGGTTAGCCTGCACAGACCCCCTTCCATTCGGCCCCAGAGCAGGGTATAGCCTGCCCCAATTGTAGGTAGTTGTGAGAAGCTTTTGTGAGTAACTAAAGGGTTGCAGCCTAATGTGAGAGTTCCCACCAATTACACCTTCTGGCCCGCCGAAGGGCAATGCCGGTATCTGCCCTCCTGCAACCCCGCATTGCACAACGGCTGGCTGGTGTGTCCAGCTGGCCACGCTGGTGGGCCCAGCAATGCACCCCGCAGGCATCTTGGCACACGAGCACAACGAGGGGCGCATGCAAGTTTAAACGTGCCGCACAAAGGGGCCAGATTTTGCCCCCAAACAAGCTGTGCCAGAATCAGGGAGCAGCTGGGGCCCCAATTGCGCTGTAGGGTAACGACCACCACAGCTGCTCAGATGCGTCGAAGTGGTGCACCGCCTTGAACCTTTCGCCTGTCCACAAAACACAGCTCAGGTGGTTGTAGACTACCGTACCTGTATTTGATTTCGGCAGGTTCGACGCCGATTAATTAAATATGAAACTTTTAATCCTTTCGGCCGACCTAGCGTTACCGGCTAAAAACTACCGTTATCGACCATTATCGCTTCAAAATATTGTCCAGCGAAATTCGGCAGGGCAAGTAATTATGTATTTTTGGCCGAAATCATAATACAGGTACGGTATGTACATAGTAACATTGTAGGCCGCGCCGGCTCGATCAGGCGGCGGCGCGGCCGCAGCTCGCAGGCCCGGCCGGCCGCGATGTGCTGTTTGCAGAACTAGGGATGAGATCGTTCTGGAGGACTTCGTGGCAGTCCGTGTCTATAATGGTCCGACGTCCTCTCCAACGGCTGATAACGGTAAAGACTACTGCTACAACCGGTCCACAGTTGCAATACTGATTCTTTGCGAAAAGCTGCAAGAAACGGTTCTACTGAAGCGGAGAGACCGGTTTTTGCTCAGGCAATCCTGATACAAAACCATTACCGCGCCACCGTACGCATGATATGTACGTGCATCATGTGCCGCACAACATCGCCGCATTGAACTTTCCAAGGCCATCAGGAAGCCACGTCCCTGAGTAATAGGGCGAGCCAGCAAGCTAGCTCAGCAAGGGAGTCGATCGCTGTGGCTGCCAGAGCAGGCTTCTCGAAGTCCTCACATTTAGTTGCATTTTCTCGTCATACCACTAGATCTGCCAGCAGGGAGGAGCTTGGAAACCCACATTTTGCAGGGCCGTCGCACAAGCTCTCTGGGGACCAAGAGACGCTCTCAAAGTGACCCGCGACAGCTGCAGCAGGCGGCATCATGGGGGAGGGCGCTGCGGGCGCAGATGCACAGGCTGTGTCTGTGAATTCGCTGACATTTGAGTACCCGGGGCAGGGCTGGGCCCTGGCGGACCTGTCGCTGCAGCTGCGCGCCGGCAGCCGCTGCCTGCTGATCGGGGCCAATGGGGCAGGTGAGCAGAGCAGCCAGGCACGCCTGCGAGAGCAGATCCAAGGCTCTGCTGACTGGCAATGTGCACTATTCAGATCAGCACAATGTGAAGCAAGGCGCACCAGTCTTGGCAACAGCTGTTGTTGCTTAGAGAGGCAAGTCAGTGTGCAAGATCCCTGCTTCCTGCACCTTTTGGAAGCAGGTGCAGCTGCTCCTCTGCTCATTATGGAGCTCTGGTCGCCAGGAGCTGGCCTGGCACTGGAAGAGATGACACTGTGGCAGCGAGCACGGCCGATAGATGCTGAGGAACTGGTTGGCTTGTGCGTCTCATTCCCTGCTCATAGATTGGGGCACGTCCCTGCCGCGTCTGCTTGCCCAGCCCCCCTCTCTGGCTGACCCCTGCTGTGCTGTTGCGTGCGCCCAGGCAAGACCACGCTGCTGCGCATCCTGGCGGGGCGCCACATGGTGGGCGGGGAGGACGTGGTGCGCATCCTGGGCCGCCCCGCCTTCCACGACCTGCAGCTCGTCTGCGGGGGGGACCTCGCCTACCTGGGCGGCTCCTGGACGCGCTCCGCCGGCTCCGCGGTGAGTGCCACCAACAGGGTCTCGGCCATTCAAGTTGGTGCCCGCACCCAACACATTTGCGCTTCTGCCCGGGCAGCGCGACTTGACGATCTTCGCAATACCTCGGTTGGTCTCTTGATGAGGGCTTCTCTCAGCCGCCAGTGTGTTTGCCCACAAGGCCATAAGTTAGTTGGAACTTCTCTCACTCCTGCCGTCAGCGTGGCCTGAGCCGCGTCCACATTGGGGCACAGTGCTGAGGCCCGCTTCTGCTGCAGCCCGTCTGACGTTGGGCTGTCTCTGTGTGCGTGCCAGGGGGACATCCCGCTGCAGGGGGACTTCTCTGCGGAGCACATGCTCTTTGGAGGTGAGCCACCACACTGTTGCAGCGTGGTGCACCGGGTACACTGCGGCTGCAACGGAGAACACAAAGAACTAGCCGCTCGCTTGACGGGCAGCGTTCTTGTTGACCCTCTGGTCAAGTCGACCTTGTCCAGCCTGTGGCATGCTCCTCCATCGGATGGTCGTGCCCTGCCCCTGTCAGGCTTTCCTCTTAAGCCTCCGTCTGCCTCTTTCCCTCCTCGCAGTTGCCGATGTCGACCCTGCGCGGCGAGCAGCTTTGATCGAGCTCCTGGACATTGACCTGAGCTGGCGCATGCACAAGGTGTCGGACGGGCAGCGCCGCCGCGTCCAGATCGCCATGGGCCTCCTGCGGCCCTTCAAGGTGAGGCTGCCTGCCTCCCCCTATAGCACTCACAGCTGGCCCTCAGGTTGGGGCCCAACCCCAAACTGACGACTGGCCAAGAGCAGTTGACTTGTTCATAGATTCTCAAGTCGAGGCTTCCGGGCCTCGGCCATAAGTGCGTTGAACTTCCGCTTTTTGAGTCTGATGTTACGGAAAAGCTGTGGCAGCATTGAGCACGGGCTGATGTGTCCCTGTGTTGCGTGCAGGTGCTGCTGCTGGACGAGGTGACGGTGGACCTGGACGTGGTGGCGCGCATGGACCTGCTCAACTTCTTCGTCCAGGAGTGCAACCAGGTGCGGGCTCCACGAGATCCGGGCAAACACTTGCTTGTTGAAACCAGAGAGATCTCTGCTGCTTGCGTCCACACTTTGCTCCTCGAATGCAAACTCCGGCCCACATTTCGAACCGTACTCTCGTCCGATTCGGCTCAGGATCGCGCAGGGGTGGTTACGGGTCGGAAGCACGGTCATAGATTTGGGGTCATCAGAGTTGGGGCTTCACGAGCTCAAACTCTGGCCGTTTAACTTTCTCGGTCGTATTGCGCTCAAAGGAAGCTTTTTGGCTAATGGCCGGACCTTGCTGTCATGCCTGCGGCCCATTTCAAGAAAAGCAGTCCATCCAAGCGCGATTAACAAGCGTGGGCGCCGATGTGCAGAGGGGCGCGACGATCGTGTATGCGACCCACATCTTCGACGGGCTGGAGGACTGGGCGACGCACGTGGCATATGTGGAGGAGGGGCGGATGCGCAAGTCGGAGGAGATTAGCTCCTTCAGTGAGCTGAGCGGGGGGAAGGCGACTCTGTTCGAAACCGTAGAAGACTGGCTGCGAAAGGAGCGGGCCGAGAAAGAACAGGCGGGAGGCAAAGCAAAGAAGGCGGTGCCCAGTCCGGCAAAGCCGCAGCCAGCTTCAACCTCACGATTCGATCGTTTCGGCTCCTCAAGACATATGGCTTACTATCGTTAGATCAGCATAAGGTACTGCCTGTCGGCAATTCGTCAATCGCGGACAGTCGACGGTTTCCGGGGTTCGTTGGCCGCAACTTGATTGGCCAAACATATGGCCATTTCTAACGGGGCAATCGAAGCAAAGAACCACTGTACAAATATAAAAAACAGAACTTGGACGCAATAGGCCCAACCGGTCTGATATCAAATAATTGGCCACAGTAGCGGCCGGCGGCGCCGCGGGGCGCCCGGCCGCCAGGGCACCGCGTGCTACTTATTCAATGCAGTGACGGTCGAGATGTCAATGTTT